CCATGTATATTGGTTTTGGTAATCTATTATTGACAAGCTGGTACAGAGTTGTTAAATAAACAAGTAGCTCGTGAGCTCGGTTCGTTTGACAAATGAGCTGAACTCGAGCTCATTTAAAGCTCGTTCAGTTACTGCTCAGCTCAATAAGGCTCAAAAAATAATTTTTTATGTAATTTTTTTATAATTTGGAAAGACTTTGGCTCGTTAAGGCTCAAGCTGGAGAAGCATGAGTTTGAGCCCAACTCAGCTCGTTTTCACCTCTAATCCAACTACAACCAATTATTCACACCTAAAAGCATATGAGTTGTGAAGTGTCTACTATGGACCTTTTGTTTATTTTCCATTTTAGTTTCTTTATTCATTAACTCAATAATATGAACGATATAATTGCTAGATAGTTATATTTTTTCAATATATATATATATGTGTATATATATATATATAATTCTTATTTTAAAATATCACTTAAAAAATATCATAATTAAAGTAGGATATATCATACGATAAACATAAATTTTATTAAGTGTTTGAAAGGTCCACAGTGTAATGATTAGAAGTCTCATATAAAAAATTGTTTAAAGAAAGGACAAGTTAATTATCAATTTGAGACGTTATAGATAATTTTTTTTTTTTTTTGAGCAAACCATAGAAATATTATTAACACCCGAAAGGTACAGCAGAATGTCCACGGACATTACAAAGCACCTTTGCAATTTTACACCAAACACAGCAGTGAAAGAAGACTCAAACAAAGGGATCCACCCATCTAAACAACAAAATAGACACTACACTCCTACTGGGAGATGTTAATGATTGTTAGAATATCACTTGTGAGTTGTCCCACATCGTTCATACATTGAAAATAGAAAGTCTAGTGGGCCTCTCCTCCTTCCACCAATTGGTTTTGGGATGGAACCCCACTTGGGCTTCATATGGGCTTTTCCCTGCTTATGGTGCGCTTAATGTTAGTGGGACCGCATCCTTTTTCCCCCAGTTTCTTACATGGTATCAGAGCCGGTTCTATTGGGATCGTGCGATGACGTACCTGTTTATGGGAGTCTACTTCTAGTAGGCTTGGGGCACCCAGTTGGGCTTGGGCTTCTCGCATCCGTTTATGAGAGTCTGCTTCCCCACGTACCCGTTTATGGGAGTCTACTTCTAATAGGCTTGGGGCACCCAGTTAGGCTTGGGCTTCTCCCATCCGTTCATGGGAGTCTGCTTCCCCACGTACCCGTTTATGGGAGTCTACTTCAAGTAGGCTTGGGGCACCTAGTTGGGCTTGGGCTTCTCGCATCCGTTTATGGGAGTCTGTTTCCCCACGTACCCGTTTATGGGAGTCTACTTCTAGTAGGCTTGGGGCACCCAGTTGGTCTTGGGCTTCCGAATGACTCACAAGTGAGGGGGCGTGTTAGAATATCACTTGTAAGTTGTCCCACATCGTTCATACATGGAAGCTTGGGGCACCTAGTTGGGCTTGGGCTTCTCGCATCCGTTTATGGGAGTCTGTTTCCCCACGTACCCGTTTATGGGAGTCTACTTCTAGTAGGCTTGGGGCACCCAGTTGGTCTCGGGCTTCCGAATGACTCACAAGTGACCCGTTTATGGGAGTCTACTTCTAGTAGGCTTGGGGCACCCAGTTGGTCTTGGGCTTCCGAATGACTCACAAGTGAGGGGGCGTGTTAGAATATCACTTGTAAGTTGTCCCACATCGTTCATACATGGAAGCTTGGGGCACCTAGTTGGGCTTGGGCTTCTCGCATCCGTTTATGGGAGTCTGTTTCCCCACGTACCCGTTTATGGGAGTCTACTTCTAGTAGGCTTGGGGCACCCAGTTGGTCTTGGGCTTCCGAATGACTCACAAGTGAGGGAACGTGTTATTAGAATATCACTTGTAAGTTGTCTCACATCGTTCATACATGGAAAATAGACCCACATTATAAGTCTAGTGGGCCTCTCCTCTTATGGTGCACTTAATGTTATTGGGACCGCATCCTTTTTCCCCCAATTTCTTACAATGATTAAATCTATCAATAGGGGGCCCCTAATATCTGAAACTAAAAATACAAAAATGTTTGTAAGAAAATAAATAAAAGTATCTTAATATAAATAAAAATGCAAAAGAAATGAAAAACATAACCATTTTTTAGTTATTAGAATATAGAAGCTTATAATGAATAAGAAATATTTGAATGCAAGTAAAAATAAAAATAAAATGTTTTGTTTTTTTGGCACTAGTTACGTATAGATTTCAACATAAATTTTGTACTATCTGTAACAACAAATTTTATGATAAACATAAAACTTTATCTACAACTTGATTTATTTCGATCAAACGATATGCGGGTACAATCTCTATTTATCTCCTCTGATTCTTCTCTTCAGGGATTTGAGTTTAGATATTCGAATATGGATTGAGCTTGCATAACGTTGACTCAAGGGCTTGAGAGTTTTTTTCCCTAATCAAATGCTATGTTGGTTGAACTTCTCAACGAACGAGGCTTGAATGTCGCTTGAACGTCGTTGATATTCTTGGATTGACTTGAGAGGTGTGGAAGTCGTCTCTTTACTTCTTGGGGAAGAGTCGCCGCCTCTTTTTCTTCTTCTTGGCCTTTTTCTTCATTGAATGGACTTCGGGCGGTTCTTGAAGAACTTCTTCAAATCTTCAAGAGGGTTCTTGAGAGCCTTTGAATTTGCTTTAATCTTTTAGATGTGTTTGATATTTTTGAGGTATCTTTGATATTTTGAGGTGTTTGAGGTGTGATTTGTGGCATTGAGTAGAGCTCTATTTATAGGTGTAGGAGAGAGTTTTAGAAAAGAAGATTTCAATTTGATTGGTCATTCATGATTTGACATAATCTCAAAATGCTCAAATTGATCTTTCATGCTCCAAATCAATAGTTGACCTATCCTTTTGTATTTAAAAGAAAATGGAGTAGCAAACACAGTGAATTATCAAGAAACAAATGGTTACATGCAACGTTAAACCGTTACCATTATTATGAACACACTAGTACGTAGCCCGTGCGATGCACGGGACAAATATTTTGAATGTGTCATTACCATATGGTCTGTCTCTTAGGCTTGAAAAAAAAAAGAGTGGACGTAGAGTGGATCATATATTTCCCACCTTTCAGAGGTGTTAAATGAGCCATTTTCATTTGATATATCTCTTAGCCCTGAAAAAAAAAAAAGTAGAGTTGGATCATTTATTCTTCACCTCTCTTAATTAGGGTTTTTTTAACCCATAACAAAACCGTAAACTTGCTGTAAATTAATTAATACATTATCCCGCTAACACGTTTATACTAATATAAATTTGACTATAATATATTTATTTACTCCTTGATATAAGAAAAAATAATTATTTTACTTATTCTTGTTAACCACATAAATTTATAAGTTGGTTGTCAAATAATGTCATTATTATTATTTATAAAAGTTATAGAAATAGTCTTCTTCTTATTTTTATTGTATGTAATAAAAACATTTAATCTGGGTTAATATTATTTATTAATATAATAAATATAAATTATGTAAATAAGTTATAAATAA